TTTTTTTTTTTTTTTGTTTCCTATAATAGAAGTTTTTTTATATTGCTTTATGTTACGGATGCCTTTGTGGGCAAGACATATGGGAGATGTGGTACACAAGTCAAGGAAGTTAGAAGCGTTAAGAATGGGAAAGAATTCGCAGAACTCACAGTTTTCTATAAGTTTTATTTATTTATTTATTACCTTGTATGAATTCCAATTATCATATTATATTCTCAAAACTCACAATTTCTAATAAAAGAACTTGGCAGTATATTTTGAATTAATATGCTTGATTTTGTATGGCCTTTCATTCTGCAGCTTAATTTAGGTGAAGTCCCTCGTGTTGTTGGAGCTAAGTTTGCTTTTTATACTAAGTGAAGATAATCAATTGTTAGCTTTCTTCTGTGGCTAAGTTGAATGGTGAGCCCAAGTAACCTTTTGGAGGGTCCTTTCTATTTTTGAAACAATAAGATGTGGTGGGAAGAGTTACGTTTGTGATGCATGTTTTTCTTAACCCATATTGTACGGCTACTTGTACTTTCTTGCTTTGGTATGTAGAGAAATTTAGGGCATGTTCTTTTGTCCAAAAAACTCAGAAAAAGACAACTCAAGTTTTAACTTTATTCAAGTTCACGTTCTTTTAAGTTTCAACTTTATTCAATTTTAATCAACTTTATTCAAATTCTAACTTCAACTCAAGTTATAACTCAAATTCAACTCAAAAACTACACTCAAGTTATACTCCAAAAGATCAGCCCCTTAGTTCTTTGGATAAAGGTCATTGCGGTGGTGGAGAGTACCAAGCCATGTCTCTTTTTCACGAGAATTGTAAGAAAGTTGTATGTTCAACTTCAAGGAGAGATCGTTTCATGCTAGGAGACGTGGGAGAAAAATTCTAGTGAATAAGATTGTCCCATAACTCTAGAGTTCAGTTTATTCTCAAATTTGATACTACGTTGGAGGACAATATAGAAGAAGATGAAGCTTCACTATCACAAGAAATAGTTGAAGTACGAGATCAAATTGCGACAAGTTTAATAAACACGATTTAATTCTTTTAATGACTCTGTCAGTTTTTTAAACATGAAGTGTACTTTTTTGTTTAACAAATTGATTACTCACTAATGCTCTTTTTAGTTGTAACTACATTGTGAATGAAGATATGCAAAAAAAAGAATTAATTATCATAAATTTATTGTTAAAAAATTTAAAATCATAGCATTATATTTTTTTTAAGTTAAATAAATATTTTTAAATGCCAAAAACAATTAATATACTTAAGTTACATACCATGTCTATTTTGGTCATTTTACATATCCACAGCAATTTAACATCAAAATTTACCAAACGCTATTACACTGATTTTAGAATCAGCACAGCTATTATAATTACAGTTTACCAAACACTCAGCTGCTTTTTATAACAACTGTTTCTTTTTTCAGCACAGCTAAAAGTAATTTTTCTAAAATCTACAATAATACCAAACTAAGCCATAATATTTATTAAAAATACTAAAAAACCCAATTATTTTTGTTGATTGTTAAAATTTAGAGGGAAAGAGCCCAAAATAGTTTTTAGTATAATTAGGGGAATAAAAAAAAGGCGCGAAAGTTGTAGCAGCCAAACAGGGCAGGCAAAATTCAAATCTTAAATGAAAAGTAAAGGGAGTCAGAAGCTAGTCAGACTCGAACACTTCTTAGAGAGAGAGAGAGAGAGAGAGAGAGGAGAGCCATGAAGATCGAAGCAAAGCGCTCCGTCATTGAAATCCAAGAAGACGACGACGAAGACTTCTTCTCTCAGCTGGCGGCGGTGGAGGCCGACGCGCTCGCCTCGTCCAAGCGCCGGAGAATCACGCCGTCGGTAAACGCCGTCGTTCCGAATCCTAAGAAAGAAATCTCCGCCGCTGCCGATGAGGGTTTGTACATGGCCGCCCTTAAGGGAAACCAGAGCCTCGTACGGCAGACCACCGCTGGGAGAGTAGGCGTCCCCAAAGGAAGAGTCAAGGCAGTCGACGCCGAAAAGGATGACGTCTTCGGCAGCTCCGGCTCCGGCGCCGGCAACTCCTGCTTCAAATGCGGAAAGTCCGGGCACTGGGCTCGCGACTGCGATTCCGCACCTGGAGGAGGCGGAGGGCAGTATGGTACTCACGGCGCTGGTTCCGATCCTTCGATTCCCGAGAAGAGCTGTCCATGTGGATTAGGGATTTGTACGGTTCTCACCGCCAATACTGAGAAGAATCGGGGTCGGAAGTTCTACAAGTGTCCTCTCAGACAGGTTTTGTTGATCGAAACTCGTTTCTAGGGTTCAATTTTCGACTCTCAGTTTTGATTGTTCGATTGTTTGTTTGTTTGGCAGGAAAATGGAGGATGTGGTTTCTTCGAGTGGTGTGACAATGCTTCTGGGAATAATTCCATGGCTGGTGGGAATTACACTTCTGATTCTTCGTTCCCTGGGCGTCCTTGTCCCTGTGGTGCTGGTTTATGCCTCATTTTGACTGCAAAAACAGGACAGAATATCGGCCAGCAATTCTATCGATGCCCTGCTAACCAGGTAAATTTTCTTTATCTTTTAGCTAAAGATATCAATAGAGTACATTGTTTGCCATTGACACTTGTTAGTTACGTAAAGTTTCTAATTGGTGATGAAAGAATCTCGTGAGACGAGAAAGAAATGGAAAATAATCCTTGCATTATTTAACTAAATTGAAAGGTTTTACAATTTGGATGTGTTCGGTTAGCATGGGCATGTTCAGTGTTGGCTTTAGAATTGAAAAGGGTGATACTTGTTTATTGATTAAAATGCGTTTGTGTGAGTGTGTGGAGCTTAATTAGCATCCTAACGCGTAGTTAGCATGGATCGTCTTGAGCATATATATTCTTGTGCATTATTGCTCTCGTTAGTAAGGATGACTTGGGCGTTTAATCCGTAACAATGTTGGTCGGGTCTTACTATATTTGGAATAGACTATGCTCGTTCTCTTATTATCATGTTGTAAAGTTTCAATTTTTCGTGGTTTATCAGTACCTGCAACTGTATTTATAATGGTAAGACCGTAAGAGAACCAAAAAAAAAAAAAGAAAAATCATTTTCGGGTTTTTGGTTTTACTAATAGGGAAGTTCTTGTGGTTTCTTCAAGTGGTGCAACGAGAATACCACATCAATTGGTGTTCCAGTCAGTAACCCAAATGCGTTTTATAACTCAATCGACACAAACAACACAAGCTACAACGTCCGAACTGGGTCTTCCTGTTTTAAATGTGGCAAGGAAGGGCATTGGGCGAGAGATTGTTCTGTTCCTTCGTCGAATCCTGCAGCTGAGTTGGGAGGAAGATCTGCTTCCTCAGGCACATGCTACAAATGTGGTAAGCCTGGGCACTGGTCAAGGGACTGCTCTTCTTTTTAGTCTCCAAAATGCAAGGCTGAAACACTTGAGAGCCATTTTGATTTTTGAGGACTACTGTTAACTCGGTCATCACTAAAACCTTAAAAGGGGTTTTGCGGTTTTGATTTTGGTTGATGGAGATCTGCTTGGAAACTCTTTTTGTCTATGATATGCTTCGTGTGAGTTTTGCTTTGCAAGTTCTTCGTCCAATGACTGTTTTGGGTACATCTCGATGTTTAGGTGTGATATAAAAGGAAAACAAGATCCTGATGTAGATCAACATTTTGTGAACCGTTTGAAGTATAGAAGAACTATGATATTCTCTAATCATGTCGGTTCTTTTTCCGCTCTGTTTTAGTAAGTGGAGTGAACAGAAAAATTACTGCAATACAAAAGATGGGGTTAACAAGCTCGACCGTAATCATGAAAACATGTTACTAAAGAAATAGTTATGGAAACTTCAGTAAATAATGATCATATCGACCCATTTAATAGGAAAAGGACTTATCCATTTGATATCAAGAGGACATAGTATCTTTTGATGCTTGATACAATTAAGTAGAATGAACTTGTTAACATTTGCTCCAAAAGGAGCAATTTAGGGGCGGAATTTGCAGGCTGTTTTTAACGTTTCGGCTGGTTTGTCCCCTGCGAGTCCACTGTCCACCCATTTGGAATAACCCCCTTCCATGCTGTTCACATGCTCAAAACCCTGCATTGAATTTCTTCATTAGTGAAGCAATTTTCCACTAAAAGTAGAAAGAAAGAAAGAATGAATGAAAGAACTAGGAAGCTAAAACTTGTTGTGTCGATATTAGTTAAGAGTATTAAGCAGTTTGGCAACCATTATTTGCTTGCCATAAGATTAGATAAGGACTTACAGCATTAAGCAAGTTGACACAAGCACGACGTGCTCTGCCCCCACTATTGCAACCCTTCAATGCAAACACAGAATTTTCTAATGTCAATTTCACAGTCGATTCTTCAATAGATGTTTGTTTATCAGTTCATTCACAAAATAGTTGGTGTTACATACATCATAATTATATAAAGCAAAATAGAAAATGCCATTGGCCAATTACCACGACTAAGTGATCATCCTTCTTGCAAATTGCGGAAACTTGGCTCAGAAAATCTGGATTTTCCACTCTACCTGATTATCACCCAGCCACAGAACAGAAAATCAGATCTGATTCAATTAGGCTTCAGGACTGTTGATTTTTGGTTTTCCTTGTTTCTATAAAATCGCCTTTTTTTTTTCCCTGTTTACTTGCATGCCATCAAAGTTAGATGAAAAAACATATGTTACAGAACATATATACTACAGAATTGTTACCTTCTTGTGTGATGAACATGTAAGGGACGTTGAAAGCTCCATCCACGTGACTTTTATTGAATTCCTCAGGGGTTCTGCATACCATAGAATCTCAGCAAGTCACGAAAGTTGAGGAGAAATGATAGGGGGAAAAGAATTATTTGAACACAGTTCTAAACCGTCCCATTTTCACTTCCTTTTGTCAAAATGCCATACTCTTCGTGATATAGACAATATATATATATATATATATATATATATATATATTGGTATTTTGACGGTTTAAAACTGTTTTTTTATCCGTTATTATTTTTTCTTTCCTTTTAATTCTTAGAATTCTCCCAAAAAAATATAGAAGGCAGGATATTTTAAATTAGATTTTATATTTGCAATCACAGTTTTTGGTTATATTTCATTCCTATTTGATTGATCCATTACCGGCATAGCTGAAATTTTCAAATAAAGAAGTTTATCCTTCTAATTCTTCAGGAAAAAAGCCACCAGAGCAAGACTAATCAAAATGGTCAAACTCCGGTGAAACCTACAAAGTCTTTTACAGAAAAAAAAAAAAAAAAAAGGAGAGAGGTTTCATCTCCATCATAACATGTAGATTATCTCACTCCAAAATTCGGGAAAAAATAATTCACACACAATATAATTAGTAGGG